AGACAAAAGATCTTTTAAAGCGTATGCTCTATATTCTTCCAAAGATCTAGCATTAGAAAGACTTGGAAAGCCTACAAATATTAATGCAGTAGCAGTAAGCAAAATCTTTTCTCTGTGATTTAGTTCCCAAGAAAGAAAAAGGCTACACCTATGATGAAACATTCTTGCATATACTCTGACAAGTTACACATGCAATTGTCTGAAAATCCTGGCTAATATAGCATACCTCAATTCTAGCTTATAAATTAGTCTGGAATCGACAACAAACAACAAAGTAAACATCCAAGCACACCAACACAAGGGAAACTAGCAAGTAGCAACAAGTAACCATTTATGAGACTGTTCAATACATATGAGAAGTATTGAATAATAGTAACTGATTTAAAATGTCCACGACTTCCCTTAATGGGTATGAGTGTAGTTGACACGGCGATGTAACCAAGGATACCAGGAAGTAACTCATGGACAGGGGTGGATGTAGGCTTTAAGATATGAGTTTGGCATAACCTGTATATGTGTTAAGAAAGCTACTAAATATGTTTAAAAATTAACCTCAACACCCAATTACTAGCAGTTGAGGTCGTTGTCCTAGAATCTAGAACCTATAAAGTTCAAATCCTGGATTCACCTCCACCAAAGAGAACATAACAAGCAGCAAGAGATTGTATATAATTACCCAAGAGCTCTAGAAAAAGAAGTGGACGGCACTTTCCTCTCCCGAGGCTTCCTCTGCCTCTTGATAACCAGCTCCGGAGTGGCAGGCCCAACAGCTTCAGCAGCGTTGCTTTCAGAAGAGAGTGATGAATCTTTCTGAGGATCACCCTCGATGGATGTCCCAACAGCAGTTTGAGACGGAGACTGTACTACATTTTCATGAAATTCAGCCGCAGCAACTTCGTCCGGCGGTAAATCGCGTTCAATTTGGGGCACAACCTCTGACTCGGAAGTGAACGTACTAGAACTAGAGGGGCTAGTTTTCTCATCCCCAAAGTAAACAACGCTTTGTTTATTCGAATCAGGATGTACAGCGGAATTTCCACCGATCTCCTTGTCGATTTGTCGAACCTTGCCCTTGGTGAGTCCGGTTAAGTCGGTGGCGGAGAGAAGAGTCTTCTTAATTAACGATTGCAAGTTGTTGTGGCGTAGTTGGCGGTTGACAGCCTCTTTGGCAACCAAAGATAGCCCATCTGCCAGCCTCGCTATGTCTTTCAGGTATGCCATTTAGAACCATAGATGTATTTAACTCTTTCGTTTTATTAGACTGAAGAAACTGAGGACCAAACTAGCGAAAGAGGCGGGCCGTGAAACAGTGAACGTATATGTACCAACATGGGTGGTGACGGGAAAAAGAAAAGGAGAATAGAATTTCAGTCGTGCGGCCATATAACGGTTAACGATT